TTTAAAGTACTGTATTGCAGCCAATGGTGACCACTTCGAATAAGCTTTTTATATTTTTTATTGTTGTATATTTATGTATTAAACTAACACACTTTAAAAGTAATAAATGTTATTTGCAGTTAAAAAAATATATTTTTTCTTTATTACAATATTTATGGCAAGACTAGGTATATTGTTAATTTCTTTATAATTAAGGATTTGATGTGGATTTAATGGGTGGTGTAACATTCTAAATAAATAATTATAATCAAACAAGTAACTTACCGGAGTAGCATCCATAATAATTACACTTTTATTTTTTGAATATGTTTAACACTGCTCTTTAGTTCGATGTTGTTTTTAAATTCTTTCCGCCAAGTAAATCGCTGTTTGACAAACGTAGTGACGCGACTGCGTTTTGTTTCCTCACCGGTGTCATATCAAACCTCTTCTAGATCATAATCAATACGTAAAATTGAGTATACACCACTTTTTCAACTGTTTGTTTGAGTTTTTTTTGTAAATGTAGAATAATATTATAGTTATATTCTTTTTTAATAAATATCGGCTAAAATATGGTTTTTGGAATAACGAAACGTAGAGAGAATCTGTGAGGTCCATTGGTAAGCGGATAACCGACGACCATCTGTCGCAGGTAGTCGGGTCAAAAACAATGTGAAACACATGTTGACGAATGGTTATTGTTAGGGTCATTACGAACGGTTAGGATAACCGAAGACAATAAGTTGATTATAGGAACCGGGAGTTAATACGTAGTTACCTATCGGAACGTAAACAAGCACTATGTCTGACCGTGTTTAGCAATAAATGCGTGAGAGAGGCCAGATCGACATACTTAAGAAATAAATTGGGAGTGCCACAGGGAAGTGTATTTCCTCTTCTCATTATTATATATATATAAATGAACTGCCACATCTTACTCAGTGTTATGCACGTTGTATACCTATTATGTTCGCTGATGATGTCACAATATTATTTACTAATAACGGAAAAACAAAAATTGACTAAGAATTTGACATAAACAATATATTGAACGGTCTTACTATCTGGCTTAAATCACTAAATTTAAAATAAATAATTCTAAAACAAAATATATGCAATTTGGTAATTACAAAAAAATTTACTTAGATTTACACATAACTTGTGAAAATGACGTTATTGATGAGGTAAATAATACTAAATATCTTGGTATTACTATAGATAAAAACTTAAATTGGAAACATCACACAGATGTGCTAAATAACAAGCTTGGTAGTTGTTGCTACGCTTTATCTGTATTGGTCGATGTAGCGTCGGTTGAAGTTGCAAAAAAACGCATATTATGGGAACATATACCCGTTACTACTGTATGGTGTAATTTTTTGGGGAAACTCTGTCAATGCGGTTAAAATATTCACAATACAGAAACGATGCTTACGCATAATCTATAGTAAACCCAGTGACTATTCTCTAAGAAGTCTGTACAAAGAAAAGGGTTTCCTGACTTCAACAGGAATATATATTTTGGAAATGTCTTTTTATACGTAATCACAGTAACTTCTTTACTAAAATATCTAATGTACACTCCGTTAACGTCAGAAACAAGGACCGTCTTGTCCTCCCTAAAATAAACAGCACGATCTTTGACCGCAGCACCTATGTAACAGCGATTAGAATTTATAACAGACTTCCAATGGCAATGAAATGTTTAAATGGTGATAAATTTAAAGCTTGTTTAAAAAAATGGTTAATTGACAAAACTTTTTACAATCTCAACGAATTTTATATAAAGACATCAAATATTTGACAATTGTATAACTAACTTAATTACGTTGTAATAAATTTTAATTGAATTGTAATTTTAAGACATTGTACGCCTGATTCGGGTAAGAATTGTAGATCTAATCACTTGTAAGTAACACCTGTATTTTACCAATTCATATAACAAATGTTTCTGATTTCTGATTTCCGGTGTTGAAGGGGTTGGTGAAATTACAAACACATGGGCCTTGTCAATTATAATATCAAGTGACGGGACGAACAAGTCGTGCGCCTGATGATGGTAAGCTACACGCCTGTCTATAACAGTTGCAGTTGCACTGCCACTGCGCCTGTCGCCCTGAGACGTAAGTTGACAAGTCCCATGTGCCTGTAATTTCACCCGCACCCTAAACCTTCAAAACCGGAACGCGGTAATGCTTCCATTACTGGTTGGCGGCAGAAATAGGCGAGGTGGTAGTACTGCCCTTTCACAAGGAACTCCACTGCTATTAAAATTCGTGTTATTCAAAAAGACTTAAGACCGGTCTACTACTCCTTTTTTAAATGATAAGCAATAAGCATAAAGTCCTCTCTAGGTCACCGTTTTATTGAAATCTGTTACAATATTCGTTATGGACTAGAACTAGAGCCAATAAACTATAAAAATATATAGTCTTTGCATTACACTATATAGGTTGGCATTACAAATATAAAACCAAATGTGTGTCTAATCTATGTGCCTCCTTCATTATGTAGATTTACCTATAATATACTACCTACACTATCCTGTTGATCGCCTTTCCAAAATTCTGTTCGCTTTTATTTTTATTCCGTTTTTAATTTCCTATTAATATCCAAAAACCCACATCATAGTTCCACAACAACAACTGGATCGACAATGATATCCTGAAGTCTCAAGAAGTAAGAAAGTATTTATTTGGACGAATTGTCAAAATTTGGCAACCCAAATGAGTATTCATTGATGTAGTGAAAAATATCTCATATATGGAATAGAATTCATTTATTACAACACAAAAATATACAGAAAGAAATAAAAAAAGACGAAGCAATAGTAAAATAAAAAATAAAATAATCTCAGTACAGAGTACTAAAAAAACCACAAAAAAAAACAGACCTCAATAATTATTTGTTACATGAAACTTTAGAAAGAGGATAGTCGAAAATGGCGGTACAGTTTTTTCATAAATTAATTTTTAGTTTAATTATTATTACGTTTTGAGTTTCTTAATAATAATTGTTTGTTAGTAGTTTAAGCTGATGGGTCTATAGCCAAAGGTCTACAAATAAATTATTATTATTATTATTTGTTATGCAAGGTTGCAAAGTTGTTGTTTGAAGCGAGTGAAGGAAGCTAAGATTGAACCACGAGCGAAGAGAGTGGTTCAAAAATAGACTCCTGAGCGTTTCAAGGGTTTCAAGCCACGATACGAAAAACTACTGCATTGCGAAACACAAGTTTTCACCTCACTATAGCGACAAAAATGGTAGATGAAAGAAAAACAGTCGAACTATAAAACATCAGTTTTTTTTATTAAAATAGAAAGTTTATCTTCGGATGCGTTGTGAATTTTTATTCTTGCTTGTAGGCACTTTTATTTTGTGTGATTAAGTGATTATGGAAATTATTTTAGTTCTTTCACAAATTAAAATAATTTAATAAACAAAATTAGTTATCATTGTCAATTAATTTAACGTCAACAATAATAAGAATAAAATATACCAACGGATTTATATTACATAAATAAGTAATGTAGGACAAATCGCGTAGTTGAACGTGAAGTCTATCGTCAAGTTCGAATTTCAAAAACCTTTTCCACGCTAGCTTGGAAAAAACGCTTTTGCGCGCAGATTTCTAATGAGAAAGAAAGTCTTTCCGAGCTAGTGAGGTGAAAATGTCATTCATCCCCTAGTTTACAACCCTTAGAAGAGAAATATTTGCTTAAAGTTTAAATGGGACCACTACTGTGGTAACCTCTTTCCAATAAAAAAACAATCATCACAATTAACTTAATACATTTTTCAAATTGTGAAATTTAATGGTTTTAAGTGTAAGTAGCGTAAATTATTAGATAAGTATAAGTATTAGATATTAATTCTTTTGTTAGAAGCCTGATACATAAATCTTTTAATGGTTTTTATTCGCCGCTTTAGGTTTCTTTTTGTAAACTTTTTATTTTTGAATAAAAATTTTTTTTTAAATCTAAACGTGTTCGCAAATTATCATTTAACAATAAAAAAGAGAAAAAAAAGGGCAGTCGAATTGATTTATTAGCACACAAGATACCAGTATACTTTATTTCACTGGTTAATTATTCTACACGTAAAATTAAGTACGTAGTAAAATTGATGATACGTGGAAAATTTTGGGCAAGCCGGTGGGAATCGAGTTATATGGACGCCTCGGCGCTGGAACCTCCTCCTTTTGTTAGTCGATTAACAACAAAAAAACACCGAAGCAAACATAATCCAATTTTAAAGCAGTCAATTTTAATAAATGGCATGTGTGCAACTGGATCCACTCAGCTAATGTCACAGCCGAGCAAAGACGTAGGGCTTGTAAAAAAAATACGTAATTTCTACAACGTAGTACTGCCATGTTTGTAAGACAACATTTGGATCTTTTTGAATTCGTAGAAAGCACACGTCGAAACGAAAAGCTCGTATTACCAACTCCAAGATTGGAAATGTTTAGAGATAGCCCGCTATATAGATGCATACTAATTTATAACAAAATACCAGACATCCTCAAGAAAGTAGATAGTGACAACGTGTTTAAAACCAAGTTGAGGTCTCTCTTGTTAAGTAAATGTTATTACAATGTGGGAGACTTCATGAACTCTCCTATAAGCTAAAAGAGTCCAGCTTCAGATAAGTAATTTTAAGTCTATGTAATACTATGATCTAAAGTTTATTAAAGATAATTTTAAGATCCTATATGTATTAGTTCCTAAATGTTACTATTATTTTTTGCTATTATTTTTATTTTTACAATTTTAATATTACGTTTAATAATAATTAATTGCTGCACTTATGTACTTATTACCTATGTAATTTTTGTACCTACATCGTTTGCAAATAAATAATAAATAAATATGTTTGAGACCAGACCATCTCTTTGGAAGCTACGACGCCACAGAGCACCACTCTTTTCCATCTTAAGTACCTTGTGTGTATTTACTAGCAGCAGACGTAAGAATCTGTGCATAATGTTGTTAAATAAAATTCACCGTAATACTTACCATTAACATTACTGCTTTTCTCTTCCCGATCTCCCAAAATGGCACTAACACTAAACTTCAATAAGGGCTTCTTCGGTTCGTTATTGTACTCCTCACAATTCCTTACAATGTCCTCTGTGTACGTCTTTCCCTCTCTTATGTCCTCGTCTCCTGAGTTTTCTTGATAAGTGAGATTGAACCTCTTTTCTAATTCCTCTAATCTCCTTATGCCAGATTTTTTACAAGCAAATGGGGGGCAATCGAACGCACCACACGTTTGACAACGATTTAAACTTGGAATGTTTAATACTTCTTTGTCTTGACGATTGTCTTCGACATTTCTGTAATAGTCGTTACTGTAATAACTTTCTTTTTTAACGTTATTAAACTCTTCGTTGCTTTTTGAATCATCGTCGTTTTCGATTTTCGGTTCTTCAACCTCTTCGTTCCGTTGTTCTTCTTCGTTGTCGGCCATTTTTTCTTCAGTTTCAGGTGAATTTTCCCTTGATGTGTAATTTTGACGTTGTAATACGTAATTTTCTATTTGCTGGTTTATGTACTGATTGTGGAAGTTCACGTTTTTTTGCTGGTGCAAAATATTGTCCACTAAAAACGGCGACGTCATATTAAAATTTGGAGTCGACTTATTATAGTAAAGATTTTGTATAGTCTTCAACATAATGTTGTGGTCCAAATTTTTCACAAACGGTAGCTTTAAAGGTCCATGTTTCAAATCCGTAGGGTACATTATACATTCATAACAATAAAAAAATTAAAAACAAAAACAAATTAACGCGTTATTAAAATAAATCAACATTGTTGTATTGTCACATCACTATAACTTATCGTGATTCATAAATTGGAATGTCAAAATTTTATTTCAAATAAAAGTCGTTCGATTATCAAATACAATCACGTGATTGGTTCGATAGGCATTTACAACGACTCATACACACTTGTATCTTGTACAACGGTTGAAAACCGACTGGATCCAAAAGGGAGTGGTCCTTTAAAGGGGGCGGGTACGTGGGGTGGCTTTTTGCTAACGCTTTTGTGTGCTACCCGCCCAAAATATTAAGATCTACTCCTCCCGTTTCCTCCAAAGCGTTCTATTCCTTTAGAGGGAGCATTGTACAACTGTAACAGTTCTTTTTAAAATGGTCACACTGTCGACTTACAAAAATAATTTTGCATCTCATTTAATTCTTATTACGAAGGCAATGAAGCGTGTTTTTGTTTTATGAACAGCATAGTTATGTTGTTAAACGGTTAAGATAATATATTTGTGTGGCAAAGGTAGGAGGTGAAAAGGGTGTCCAATAGTTTTTGTTATAAATGTGATTGTATAATTTAAAAGAGATTTGTGTTGAATTTTTTATTTAGAGACTTCGTTTGAATTTTGAATTAAATAACTGGTTCTACCCTAAGAACTCAGTGCTGAAGTAGTCTAGATATAACACGGGAAACCCCAGGTTTGATTACCTACCAGTGGCAAGAATTTAAGAAACCACATTAATTAATTATTTCAAAGGTAAATTTCTGCATTGGTTACAATTATAACTAATAAAATAAAAAATAAAGGTAACAGTGTTAGTGTTAAAAACTCAAGCGCATATAATAAAAACATACCTACATCCATTGACTTACAATTATATGGACGTCGGGTCCGCGCTAAAAAGTGTCCGCACTTGTAAGGCGCTAAAATCGTATACAGAGCGCGACACTCCGCTTTAGTCTTCATTTGTTCTACGGACAGCGCGATACTGCGATGACATAACAATTTAAATTTCGAATAGGTCGACTTGGGACATTTTTTTCGTGGTTTTTGTATTAGACCCGTCGTCCATTTATTTGTAAGTCAATGCCTACATCGCAATTTTTTTTAATCTCTATTCGATTTGAAAAAAAAAAGAATCATCTCTAGAGAATCTCTTTCCGTCTCCCTCAAGTTTTGCTTTCATAAACACGTTTTCTTCAATAATGCCTATCATGTAATTTTTCCTCATAACTAACTCAATTTATCCTAACTGAAAATTATAAAAATGGCGGCTAACTTGCACTTTGAACTGATATTTTTTATTTACTTTAATACGTTAAATCTTTATATTTATTTAATTCTAAAGAATGTATAGCATAGTGATACTCCAAGAATTTGAAGAGTGTCAGAAACAAAAAGCAAATCTAGATATTAATTGACTTTATAGCCACAAAACAAACGTATATAGTTTTTTTTTTATTAAAGCTATCACCACTAAACCATAAATTGGTAACAGACAATAGCGTCAAAGTAGTGATGAGATTATTTCGATAGTGACAGCCTTACATAAAGAAAGATACGTTTCCTTAACCTTTTCAAAAGCCAGACAATATATCGTTGTAATAATTATGAATACAAAAACAATATTACATAACAATGAATATCAAAAACATTATTTGAGCAAACAAATAACGATCAACCTCGCTGTCTGAACCAAGACTGGCTGAAAAGAAAAAGGAACACACGTGTGAACTGAAGAAAAAATCGTACCAATTTTGAAATTAGCCACACCCCCTTCTGTTATTGGCTACGACACGCTTAACAAAATGGCGTAACATCCTGTTTTGTCTACGAATCGTTTTCGTTCTTATATTTATTGCGGTTTAGTTTATTTTTATATAAAAACGTTTACAGTTTAATATTGATGGTAGTATATTTTTATTTCTTTCATATTTAAACTGGAATAAGTATGAGGAAAGAGTTTTGGTATGAATTTATTATTTTGAACCTGTTTTTGACTTCGCCATCAGTGTGAGTTATCGAGCACGTTTCTGATGCCGTTTTTAACCGACTTCAATAAATGAATGTTCCTACATGCATGTTTATTGTGTATCTCAGATAAGTTTAAGTATGTTTTTATTAGTCTAGATTTTATTATCTGATGTCCAAATGAAATCTGTATAAAAGATAATAAATATCTATAAGTAGGTTAACATAAAATTAAAGAACTGACCCTCAGTTAGATTGTATTAGCTTTAACCATTGTAGTGTTGTGATCGCCTCTCAAACAGGTGCCGTGTGTTCGAATCCGGGCTGGCACCTCTTGTGTTTTTCGGAATTAATGTGCGAAATTTAATTTTAAGCTTTTCGGTGTCGTTGAACATTGGGCCGTATTACACGCTCTCTATCACTGTAACATGGACTCTCGCCACATACCTAGATGTACTTCGAGAGCTGCACTCATTTGCAACTCTACAATATCGAATGCATGAACTAACCAACCCTATACCAATAAAATGGGAAGTGCGACAGGGAGACAAACTTTTTGCTGCTGTCCTAGACGTAATTGATTGGACCAAATGTGGCGTTAACATCAATGGGGCCTTCCTATCCCACTTACAGTTTGCAGATGACCTAGTCGGTATTCTTAGCTGAAAACTTTAACGGTCTCCAGCGTATGCTGCAACAACTGTGATGCTTCTATGTGGATGGGCCTCAAAACGAATATGTCCAAGACTAGGGTTATGGCGAACATCTCCAACGTCACAAATCCAAGTGTCATAGTTGGAAGTGATATGTTGCAGATTGTATATCAATACGTTCACCTTGGACATATTTTATCTTTTGGCAAGGAGCCTCAAATGAAGGGGATCACCAGAAGAATTCAGCTCAGGTGGGCCGCGTTTCACAAGTTGGACGACATTCTTAAGGCAGCCAAAATACCACAATGTCTGAAGACCCGTCTGTATAATTAGTGTATTCTGCTTACCATGACGCTCATGCAGGAGGCTGTGTATAAGACGATAGTTGCACAGAGTCATGGAGCGTGCCATGTTCGGTAGATATCAAGCTTATAGACCGTGTTCCCAATGTTCAAATTCGAAGTCGAACAAAGGTAAAGGACGTGGGGGAACCGCATCACGAAGCTAAAGTGGAACTGGGCAGGGCACTTGATACGGACACAAGGTGACAGATGGAGTACGGCGATAACTGTCCAAGGACTGGATACAGGAACGTTGGGCGTCCATGATGATATCGCAGGAATTGGAAGGCGAACCTGGATGAGATTAGCACGGGATCGTGGGGAGTGGCACAGAAACTTGGAAGCCTATACCCAGCAGTGGGTGAAGTCAGGCTGTATATGATGATTCGATGAAGGAGAACATCGTGAGGAAACCTGAACACACCTGCAAAGCATTTTAATGATGTGTGACGTTCCCAATCCACCCGCGCGGAAACTACAGTCCAAGCCTTCGCATTGTGATAGGAGGCATGTCCCTTGCAGTGGGACTATATAGTAGGCCTATCACAGCCACAGTCTCTCCAACATGGGACTGTCCCACCTGACCGCAATAACGGTCAGGATCCCGGTCGAGCTGGCGCGCAGTTTGCCTAGAACCGAAACACATCTGTTTCACATGATCGCATGGAAACCATTCGTTCGCGCCAGCAAGAAGACGGGCGCAGTGCAGTGCCCCTAAGATTTTGTGATTTAAAGCTCTGAGTGGCACTGCAACTGTTATGTATAGGAGTATCGCTTACTACTAGGCGCGCGACTTGTTCGTCCTTGCACGTCTATAATAAGATCCTAGTTGAGGTTTAAAATTATAGTGAAACAAACACGTGATACTAATTTATTAAACAAAATTAAATTACCTACTTTTTAAACGAGATAAATTATTAAGATACGCACATTTCCATCGTCAGTGATTGAATGAATGAAATACCATTCCGTTGACACTCTATTGAGGGAATAACAATTATTATCATAATTACAATATGATCTCAATGGGGTCTACGTGGAATTACACGCTACCACTGCGTGCTGGGCCCATAACCTAATAAAACACCGCATTTAAATTTGCAGAATTGGGCCCCTGGCCCTGTAGGTACCTAATTTCTTTCTTCGCCCGAGATCCAACTGTCAAATAGCGAGATCCGCCTGTCAAATAGTAACATTCGACCAAGTTAAAAGACAATGTGAAGTATGAACCTTCATTCGCGTCATTCGTGTTTAACTTGGTCAAGTATTACGATGTCGAACGGAGAGCGAGAATACCTACAGGGCCAGCAAAGTTGAAGCCTTTACAGTCTCAAAAGTTTTATTAGTGAACGTTGATAAGAACAAGCAAGATGCGGTTGACCGCTATTTACTACCCGCCGGTGCCTGCACGCAAAAATATTCCCTCAGGTGGTAAGGCGTTGAATTCATTGATAGTACGTTTTTGCTTTAAAATGCCTATTCACTCTATATATTTAATAGTAGTAGAGTTTCTTGTGAAACAGTTCGTCCGAGGAAGTACTGCCACCTAAGAGTGCTGGTGATATTACAGGCACCTGGGACTTGTCAACTTATGTCTCAGGGTGTCGGGCGCAGAGGCAGTGCCCCTCAGATCTTTGCGGATTTAAAGCTCTGAGTGGCACTGCAACTGTTACGGACAGATATGTCATCAAGCTTATCATCAGGCGCACGACTTGTTCAACCCGTCACTTAATATTATAAAAAAAGAGGTTATTTTAGATGCAATATTCATACCTTATTGCACTTATTATTTCAATGAACAATTGCCCTCCTAGTCGTTTATTATATCTCTCATTACAAATAACTTCTAGATTTAGTCTATCTCGTTGGTTCTGACTGAAAACCAACATGTAGAAAAACAAAATGTAGGTCAATGGTTGAATGATTGCTTTATCAATATTACAATATCTCAAATCTCTTTGGCTAGTCAATACAAGGAGCTCCTTACACTTCTTTGAGAAATAGTGTT